GCGGCCTCGGCCAGCACTGCTCGCCACATCGGCCATGATGGTTATCGCGGTGCTGTGGTGGATGGGAGGTGAATGGAAAGAGGTTCGAGCGTTTAAATGTTCATGTGCGCTCGCGTGGTCGATGTTAGGCATGGCGTCGGCACATTCTACGCGCCCCGCCCCCTGCTGCGACCGGGCACTTTGCCGTCCTTGCCGCCCCTGCCGCCCTTGCAGCCGCCCATGCCGCTGTTGCCGCAATTGGCGGCGGTGCTGCCCTTGCCGACTGCGACGCCCGCGTCGCCGCTCTTGTCCTGGAGCGGCCCCAGAATGGGCGCCCCTCTCTGATGCCCTTCGCGCTGACCCACGTCGGGGCGACCACCTCGTTGTCAAAGGCCGAGAGTTCGAGCGAGCGAAGCTCGACATTGTCTCCTCCTTGGTGCACTAACTGGACATGCCAGAACGGGTTTGCAAATAATTGCCTCTCGTCGTCGAGGCTGCCACGCCAGCGCCGAACGGTTGCGCAGGCAAGTTGAAGTACCGAGGGCGCCGCCGCGGCTGAAACGAAGTTCCCATTGTTGATGATGGTGGTTTCGTTGCATGTTTGTTTACCGGTTGTGGTAATGTCAAACATCGCTGCGAGTTGCAGCTCGCCCCTCTTGAAGGAGCTCGTCGCAGTCAATGGCGCCTTGCCCTTGAACTCCTGGGCGGCGGGGTATACTATACGGGTGGTGTGCTGTCGCTGCATATGGCTGGTCACATGCGAGCTTAGCTCGCAAGCGCGGGGAGGGATCGGAGGATCTTAGATCGCGAATGCGAGCGTCGCTCGCGAGTTCGCTGCGCCACGGGGCGCACGTTTGCACGCCACCCCCGAAGATCTCGCCGTCGACGGCCGAGTCGGCTGCGACCCGCCAGCGCGCCTTCGCGCACTCGATCGCGTGATTCTTCGCATGCCGACGCTTGTCGAGCTGCTTGCAAACGACAGCCTCGCAACCACCATCATGCGCATCCTCGCCGCCCCGCCCTTCCCCACCCCCTCGCCCCCAACCGGCCTCGCCACGCCGCTGCGATTATGTCAGCGCTCGTCTTTATAAGGCGTTGCCTCTGATATTCTTCTTACGAATGACAACGCACAGGCCTTGGGTTCGATCATCACGAATACCGCGTAAACGTCGAGGACCTCGCTCATCTTCATCGTGATGTCATGATCAGGCCGTCCATTAAAGTGGGCGGTATGATCATTGATCGCCGCGATCGTGAGCACGCCCGTCTTCGCGCCGTTCGGTGCGACGGTGGCGCCGACCTCGAAGCCTCTGGCCTTGCAGACCTGCGGGTCGACCGACCCCCCGTCCATAATTGGTGGGGGCGCCATCCCTAGGTGCGCCGCGGGCGTCTCCTTGGCCCTCCGAGGAGGCGGCTTCTCGCTCTCGCCGAGGTCGCCGACGCCAGGCTGGACGTCCAGCTTCAGCAACGCCGCGCTGCGAATCCGCATCTTGTCGGCTTGATGGCCTCCCAGAAGTCGGCCGCCACGTCGACCATAAAGTGGTGCTCTTTGCGGTCATCGCACTTCTTGCCCAGCGCCTGGCCCGCTGCGCGCGCGCGCCGCCCAGCGGGCTGCGCCAGCGAGCGAGCATCGCTCGCCATCGCTCCTTTCCCAGCGAGCATCGCTCGCCGCCCCCCGCCTTCCTCCCCGACCCCCCGACCCATCGCCATCGATCGCTGGCGAGTGTCCAGCTGCGACAGGAGTTTCTGCATGATGGCGTCGCTCACGTCCTGTTCTTCCCACCGTGGCCCGCGCTCTTGCAGTCCGCGGTGGGCAAGAGTGCGCTTTCGCCTCCTGGCGTCGCCCACCGCGGGGGCGACGCCAGTTGCGCCTCCATCGTCGCCAGCGCCCGCAGCGGGCCCTCCGAGAGCTGCAACTGGCTGAGCGCCTGCAGGTCGTCGGGGGCGATGGTGCGACGGTGCGCTTCGTGGTGGGGCTCCGCCAATTTTTTCCAGGACGTTGAGCATGTCGCCCTCCTCCCCACCACTCCACGCTCGGACGAAGCTGACGTCCGCACTGCCCCGCCACGTCGGGGTTCAGTCAGGCGTGCAAGGCACGCCGTTTCTCCTGTCAGCCTTTCCTCGGCCCCCCACCCCCACCTCCCTGTCCCACTCGCGCCTGCCACCCTGCGCGCTCGTCTCGGGGCGGCGAGCATGCTCGCCATGAGCGGCGGCGATCATGGCGCGAGCCGGTCGTCTTGCACGGGGCTCCCTCTCGAACTCGCGCGACACGCCGAGTGCCGCAATGCGCTGCGCCTTCGCCCAGTCCTCGGCCGTCTCGAGGCTCGGCTGCAGCGTCGCGATCATCCAGACCTTCTTGGCGCGCTGCGCCGTGGTGGCCGGGCGCGCGGCCCCGCGGTCCGCGTGGCCGCTCTGGGCCGTGAGTTGCATCGGGTCCGTGCTGCGCGTCACCACCAGGGCGCTGGTTACGCTGCACGTCAAGCTGCGCTCCAATGGCTGCTTGAACGACGGCTGTCGCTCACAGACAGATGCGAGCCATGGAGACGCGGCCGTGCCCATCTGAGATACCCTGGTTCACCGACCGCGCCGTGCCATGGATGCAGCGCAGCGTGGCCGTCGTGCGCGAGCGTCGCACAGCGGCGACCAGCAGCTCTCTCGGGCCCTCTATCAGAGGGAGCAAGCCGTCCGACCCCACCGCTAATTTCACGTTGAAGTCGCGGGTCTTGGTGTCGCCGATTGGGATCAACTAGCCCACGTTGCGCAGGTTTGCAAGGCGAGCACACGCTCGTCGATCCAATCTCGCGAGCGGACGCTCGCAATAGCGCGCGTGGCGCGCAATTTTCGCTTTCGCCAAAGGAATTGCTGCAGGAAGCACGGACGCGTGTCTCGACAGCCCTTGCGGAAATGGCGCAAGCCGAATGGCTCTCGCACGCGAGCGCCTCCGACGTCTCGTCGTCGCCCCAACCCTTTGACCGTCAGGGTGGCCAACAAGTCGTGGACGTCGAACGGCGCGAGTCCAGCCTCGTCGCGGTTGTCGGGGCGCGCCCCCGCCTTCATCGCGCGCGCGCACTTCGACTCGCACAGGCCGCAGCGCCTGATGAGTCCGAGGAGCCTGGCTTGGAATGCCGAGACTCCCTCGACTTTCATGCCGGCGTTGTGCAGCTGGAGCTGCTGATTGATGAGTGGCGCCAGCGCGGAGGCGCGCTCCTCCATGCTCCGCGTCGACCTCGCGCCGGCAACGCCGGCCTTAGTTGCGCACGCGCGCGTCGCGCGCCTCTCTCCGCGCGAGCAAAGCTCGCCATTTGGCAGCGCTGGCGCTTTTTAACGCCACGCGGGCAATGCTCGTCTACGCTGCAACGCCACAGCAGCAGCGTTTTTTTGCACCACAACTGTATATACACCGTCACACGAGCAAAGCTCGCCGCGGAAACTAAGGCGGATACCTCGCACGCGGCCGCGACCACATCGTTCGACTGCGCCATGGCGATCGCGACGCGACCGCCATAGCTCAGCGCGCTCGGGCAGGGACGGCAATTGCGGCACAGGCTGCGGCGCTCGTGCCAACGCGGCTACAACCATCGAGACCTTCACCACAATAACCCGCAATTCTCATCGTCATCGTCCTCATGCATGCGCGGGCGCGAGCAATGCTCGCGATGCCGCGGCATGATCGAGCTCGATGAGTTTCCGAAGCGAGCCGCGCGCGCGATGTTTCGTCAGGAGTAAGATTTGTCAGCTAAGCAAAAAACAGTGAAACAACAACATATATATATATATATATATATATATATATATATATATATATATTTATAAGCACGCAAAACACCACATACTCAATTGGAAACATGATGTATTAGAACATGTTTGGTACAAACCATGTAGAATGACATGTGTTCCAATTTCCGGCAGGCTATAGTTGCATCGTAGTTTGCAACATGTTGCTATGGAATACGTAGATCTGAGATGGCTTGGGAATACTTGTAGGACTTATTGGTTATCCCATAACTATGCTACAACTATTGCTAAAGTGTAGCACGACTATTCGATATCTATTTTGACATAGTTGGGCCTCAAAGTGGGAGCCCGAACCGAGACCGGGAGCTGGGGCCGCGGTCAGAACCGGGACTGCATGGGAGCCGGGGTCAGGGCCGCGGCCCGGCCAGGGCCGAGGCCAACAAGGCCAGAACCAGGGCCGGGGCTGGGGTGGACCTGGGGCCCGGGCCGGGGCTGGGACCAGCTGCGGTCGGGGCCGGGGCCGGAAATGGGGATCGGAGGCGGGGCGGATCGGGGGGCGGAGCCCGGGCCGGGGCCGGGGCTGGGACCGGCCGCCAGCCGGGGCTGGGGCCGGAAACGGGAGCCGGGGCTGGGGGCGAGGGCCTGGCTGGCGGGGTCGGGGCCGGGGCCGGGAATGAGAGCGGGACCGGGGCCGGAGCCTGGGCGGGGTCGGGGCCGCGCGTCGGGGCCGGGGCTGGAATTGGGACGGGGGCCCGAGCCGGGGCCGGGAGCCGGGGTCAGGGCCGGGGCCCGGCCGGGGCCGGGGCCAGGGCCGAACCGCTTGGGTGGGGAGGCGCATCTGACCCGGGACTTCCCCGGTTTTTTCCCGGGACCCCCCTCCTCTCCCCACCGTGGGAAGCGCCCCCTTGAATGACGAACGGCCTGGTGGGCGTGCCGTTCAGGCGAGACCCCGTTTGTACAGGGTTCACCCTCCATCCGTGCAAGGGTTGCACAATTTCAGGTTTTCGTCGCCAGGCCAGCGGAAGTTTCGAGCGAGACCCCTCTTGAAAAGAAGTTGACCTCCATCGAGGAGGTAGGAGGAGTCGGAGGAGGGGGAGGAGGATGAGGGTAGTATGAGGAGGAGGCGGAGGAGGAGGAGGAGGAGGAGGTGGAGGAGGAGGATATGGGTGGGTGGAGAAGGAGGAGGAGAAGCAGGAGGCGGATCAGGAGCAGGGGCAGGAGCAGTTGCAGGAACAGAAGCAGGAGGATGGGTAATCGGTCAAGTGGGCGCAGGGAAAGTTTCTCAGGTGCTTCTCTTCGCGAACCCGCTCATCAAGTGATATGAGGTTGCCCGGGGCGTTCGGGCGCATCGTGTTTGAAGAATTGCTACCAAAGAATGTGTCATCCTCCACTTTGATTGGTTCTCTTATTGGCACACATTGCCTGTACAGCAGGTTCGCGCCGCGTTGGCGCGGCGGCGACAACAGCGTGGGCCTTCAAGGTGTGCCTCCCCGAGCTGTGCGAGCTAGACCCGTGGTCAACGACCTCTGCTGTATGAGAGCGTCGATCTTTCAAGGTTGAGCTGTCCACGTGGTGTCAGGGACCAACGCCCACGGCACAGGGACGTGAACCTGCCCTGCTCTGATTGCTGCACTGGAGCCACCAGTCATGATCAGCATCATCCTGCAACCTAAGGGTTTATACATAAAGTCTATAGTACGGTCGGTGCGAAGCGCAAGATCGAGGCAGCTTCGGGGAGGATGCCCCAAGTTTTTCGTGTTCGTTGGATGTTTTTGTGCATCCTGGGGGAGGGTGCCCTCGTGTATCATTTAGCTTGGCCAGCTGAGGGTATTATTCTGTCCCAGGTCCGACTCTAGCGATGAAAATCGCCTCGCATCTCATATACCACGAACCCAGCCCTGGGGGGCCTCGGGGCCCCGAGGGGGTTGCAGCACACCTGCGGAACCCAGTGTAAACCAAGTGGTTTCTCCCGCCCCTGGGGCCTCCCTGCGTCCACGGGTTGCCCCGGGAGGCCCCTGGACAAGCTTATGTCTCGACTCCTGTACAAGCGATTGGGTCCACTGTTAGACAAGCAACAAAGCGTAGACCAAGCAGGCTTCAGACACGGCTACAGCACCGACGACCACTTATTCACAACGCCGGCTCTCCTGCACAACCAGTTTGAAGAATGGCATGTACCACTCTGGGTAGCGGCGGTTAACTTTAAGAAAGCATTCGACTGTGTCAACCACAACACACTATGGGACTCACTCAGAGAGCAGCAGGCGCCGGCATCCTACATACACCTCCTCAAACAATTCTACACCGACCAGACCGCTACAGTACGGACGGACAGCACGAGCAGACACTTCAACATCCAGCGAGGTGTGAAACCAGGAGACCCACTGAGCTCCCTATTTTCCAGCGCACTACTTACAAGCAAATTCCGACGCATGAAGGACACATGGCGCAACAAACAGCTTGGCATACATATGGGTTTCACCGCAGACACCCTCCTCACCAACTTCCGTTTTGCAGACGACGTTTTATTTTGTGTGCGCCAAATTTGCGTCAACTGAAATTCTCACTGCGCGACCTCAATGCGGCCTCGAGTTAAACCCAGACAAGACGAAAGTACGGTCCAACGTCACCCAGCGACAAGGCAGACCTACCAAGGCCATTCCATAACATCGAAGGTGATAGCGTCGAGATTGTGGGCGCAACGCGGAGCACGAAGTAATTGGGCAGGGATCTTACACACCATGAATTCCACATCGCGGAGCTCGACGCCAGAATCGCGTCGGGTTGACGCCGATTCAACCATTTGAGACACGAATTGACATGCAAACGCTACCCTCGCGCAAGTCGCCTATGCCTCTTCAGTGGGACCGTAACGCCCAGTGTCATGTACGGATGCAGCTCGTGGGCTCTAACCAAAGACGCGCTTACATTACTACAGCGTGCGCAGCGGAAGGTGGTCCGAATCATCGTGGGGATTGGCAGACGAGGCGCGCGAGGGAATCATTGGAACGACGATGAGAAAGACCTCCAACTTAGCAGCGGCCAACTGGAGGAGGGAGATGGAGCATAGTGCGCAGAGCTTGACGGAGACTTCGCCGAAAGCAACCCAGACAATGACGACAGCACTGAGAACGACGACTTTGGCAACGACGGAAGCAGTAAAAGCAGCGACAGCGACGACGACGACGACGACGGCTATACCAGCAGCAACGACGGCGACACCAACAGCAACGACGGATTAGAGCCATGGGTGGACTTCATCCGACGAGCGACGCACACAGCCGATGCCCATGCCAGACGCGCGAAAGTCGAGGATTGGGCTTCGCACGACTTTAATGCAAAGTGGAGATGGGCCAAGCGGGTTGCCAATTTTCCCGCCGCCGCTCGGCGGCCTCCTCTGCGCGACAGAAGACCCGCACAACGAAAACAAGGCGGACCGAGGAAGCGTTGGGACAACGAGGTCGTCACATTTTTGGGCACCTCGGATATGATTGACAACAACAAGAGACTCCCCGATGATACTGGCTGCGAATGGTGGTTTGCGCTGGCGCACGATAGCTACACCTGGCAGGGCTTAGAGGACAAGCGTTTGCGATGCGCCGTCAACCATCAAAGCGCGGACGACACGAACTGAAACACTTGGCCCGTCCGCCAAGACGTGAAATCGAACCAGAGCGAGCTGGACACGCGTACCAATTCCAAGCTTTTGACCTCCACCTTCCGACCCCCAGCTCTCGCGTCCACATCCCGACTTCCAGCATGCGACATCCGCTTTGTCACTTCCACTTGCACCTACTGACCTCCAGCTTCTTCCAGCTCACCACTCCCGCCTCCGGCATCCAGCATTCCGACTTCCACTTCCCATTCCACCCGTCGACCTCCAGCGTCCAGCAGCGCAGCGCTCCGACCTCCGCCCTCCAGCAGCATGTGACTTTCCATCTCCACCGCCACCCGCCGACCTCCAGCGCCCAGCAGCGCAGCACTCCGACCTCCACCCTCCGGCAGCATGTGACTCTCCACCTCCCCCACCACCCGTCGACCTCCAGCGTCCAGCGGCTCAGCACTCCGACCTCCGCTCTCCAGCATCCGACTTTCCACCTCCGCTTCCACCTGCCGACCACTCAGCATTCCGACTCCAGCATCTGGCTTCCGACTCTCCTTTTCCACCTGCACAACTGGGCTTCCGACGTCCACCAGCTTTTAACTCAGCGCTCCGACCTCGGCAATTAAGGTCTACAAGCACTGAGGGCCACGGCCCCCCCGCGCAGGCCCTAAAGGGCCCCGCTCCTGGCGGAACCGCGCGCTTGCCTCGCCTCGCTTCGCCTTGCCCCTGGAGCACCGAGAGAGCCCAGGGGCGCCCGAATACGCCCACGACCGCTTCAAGATGGCCCCAACGAGGAGTTTCCAAGACGGTCCAAGAAAACCCCAAGAGGGCTTCAACAGGGCCCCAACAGGCAAATACCGTTGAATTCAATGTTGAATTTTGAGGGCTCAAGACGAGCTGGTTCCCGACTGCCCAAGGCGGCCCAAGAGGCTCCCACGTCGGCCCAAGTGGACCCCAAAACGGCTTATGATACCCCAAAAGGATTCAACATCTTTCAACAGTGTCCCACTCAGGGGCCCAAGAGGAGGAAAACGAAGGGACCTTGGGAGCCTTTACCTTGATTATTGCCCCCACGACGCCCAAAGTGCCCCCAACATGCCCCGAACAGGCCCCCAACAGGCCCCCAACACCCCCCCAATGAGTCGACCCAAGACGGCCCGAAAACAACGCCGAGAGACATCCACGACAGGCCGGGGGAAACCCCGTACGGCCGATCAGCGGCGCCACCAGACACCCAAAACGGATTTTCCAGCAAACGCACAAGAACTTCAAGACAAAACGGCCCAAAGACAAAAGCGGCTGGAGGCGAAGGGGGAACCGACCCTCCATTGTTCCGCCTCCCTCGTGCCCCCCTCCTTTCTCCTCCTCCTCCTCCTCCTCCTCCTCCTCCTCTTCCTCCTCCTCCTCCCTTGTCGTCGCCCCCCAGCCCCATGCCTTGGCGCGCCCGCCGCCGACGCCCCAGTCTGGGCCGCTCCGGGAACGCTGCCACCGGGGGGGGGGGCTGGTGGCGATTTTGTAGCGAGAGCCCCGCGCGGTTGGTCAGACCGTGCGTGACTTCTCGCGCTGGGGTGCCCCCCCCCGGTTTGGCGCTGGGTCGGGCTCGGACGGGAGAGGGTCAGGTGGACGGGGGCGGCGCCTTGGCCCTTACTTGTTCGGCGGAACACGCATGGTCCGACTGACGGGACCACGGGCGCGCCAGGGGAGCCGCGACAGGCGGGCCCGCGGAGGCCCGCCAAAAATCCCGAGGGAAACGTTGAACGCTTCGCCGCCGAGGCGCTCGGCGTTCCCAAGTGGGTTTCCTCGACTGCCCTGGGGCCCGGGGGGAGGCAGGCCCCGGGGGCCGCCCCGCTGCACCCGGGGCGCGCGGGGCCGCGGGGGGGAGCCCGGGAGAGGGGTTGGGTCGGACGCGCCCATCCCGCTCGCGGCACCCGAAGGCCCAGGGGGCGGATGGTCCCCCGCGCCGGGGAGTCGCCCAGTCCTTCGGGCAACCTCCGGGGACCGTCTGGAACAACATAGTCCGAAACATAGTCCCCTACTCTTGCTCCTCCCTCCTCGTCCTTCTCCCTACTTCCTCCTTGTTCCCCTCGTTTCATCCCTCCGCCCCGGTCCCTATTGCCCGACCTCTTCCTTGCCTTGCCTCCTCGCTCCCTCCCTCCTCCTCTCCCGTACTCTGGCTGTCGGATTGTGCGGAGGCCAGGAGGAGTAGCAGCAGGGTTGATTGCATGTCCATGTGTAATTGGTCATGCACCCCTCGCCCTACCCCGAGCACCAACCCGAATCGCGCACTCGGTCCCGAACCTGTTGGCTTCGAAACCTGCGGTTCCTGTTTCGCTGGTCGCTTCCCTTATTGTGTGTTTTACGCCAGGTTCCAAAACATATCGAACTTGAGCGCGTGCGAAGCGCGCCCACGATGGTCTAGTCTGGTGATATCATGAGCCCCCAGCGCGACCCCAACCAGCTGTTCGTATTAGGCGAACTTGACTAGCTGGACACAGTTACAATGCACGTCAGACTGGCGGCACAGTGTAGTTTTGACACAGCGAAAGCAATATGAGTGCCAAGGGGGCGGTCTATCACCCATTGCGACGCTGTTTTCTCTGGGGGTGATGTGGTTTGAAGGTTTAACAGTCTCACTGAGCAGCAGCAGCAGCAGGCAGATGAGGTTGAGTTGGAGTGACAGGAGGGCGAGGAGGAGGAGGAGCAGGAGGAGGAGGA